CGAGGCTGTGGTCTGTACGTCTGCTGCGGTTGTGACTGTTGTGGTGGCGGCTGCGGCTGAGGCATGCTCAGTGCACCCGCAACGGCTTCAGGTAGCTGATTGAGCACTGGTTGCTGCCGCACTAGGTATGAGGCAGCTGCTACTGGTTGGTGCACTGAAGCGTGGTGATGGTGCACGGCTCGCTTTCCGTGCTGCACTGCCATTGTGTGCTGCACTGCAGCTCCTGGATGCCGCACAGCTGAGTGCCAGATTGGCCTTGGCTGCTGAGCCTGACTGAATGACACTGCGGAATCGTCGGAGGCCTCAGACGTGCCAGCTGACTGCCTTGCGGCTAACATTCTCCAGTCCATGTTCCGCGCGCCATCCACTGCTGCTGTATGTTCAGTCAGGCTATCATATCCCCGGGTTTCGGCACCAGCTTGCACTGCTGGCTTGACAACGCGACCCTGGTCCACACAACTCAATGATACGCACTTTGCGGCCGGGACGACACGAGTATTGCCACATCTTTGCAAGGCATCGTCAAAATTGGCAAGTGCCTCCGCAGTCAAGCCATGCCCTCGCCGCCTCGGGGAACTCCTCTGGGACAGCTGCTCCGTTTTTATTGCTTCCTCTAACGCCAACTTTTTGGCCCAAATGTCCTTGCGGAGTTCAATCTCCCTTTTCTTTACATCTAACTCCATGGTGGCGAGCTCCTCCGCCGCTTCCAGCTCTGTAGCTTTCAGTTCGACCTTGAGCTGGGAACAGCTACTGGCCCTGGACGGGACAGCGGACACCGAGCTCCTTTTATCCGCAGCCACGGCGAGTTCGGGCTCCTCGTGTCCATATCTCAATGGTGGCACACCCTTGGTTGTGCGTTGGCTCGTACGCGGAGCTGACGCCGAGGACATGATGCTAACTTTACGTTCCACAGCACTATAACTTTACTACAATGTCTACATACTACTAAACTCTACAGAACAAGCTCAGTCCGAGATCCGGCTCGAAGGACCAGTTGTTTAGGACTCTTTCCCTTTCGGTGAAGACTGTATTAAATTCTAATTGTTCGAACTCTGGTGTAGTGAACTGACACTCGGAAAACAACATGCAGACATGGAACACAACTAAAAATGCAGAGAATGAAACCCGGAAAACGCAAAGGCAAACAACAACCACAACTGTCACTAATCTGGGCAAGAAGCTAACCACCATTCTCTCAAACTTGACAAACTCTCTCTCTCAAATCGCTGTCCTCAGCGAAACGTGCCCGCGTGCGTGCATTGGCTTGCGCCGCATGCATGTACACAACGACGTGGCATAGAGAGAAAATGCAGCGTACAGAAAATGCATGAATCATCGTAGCCATAGAGATACTAATTATGGTGACTGCCAAAGTCCGCGTGCACGTGCAGCGCGGAGTGCAGGTGCAACAAAAAAGAAAAGCAATAATAATTTGAATGCAGAACAAAACAGAAACTAGCAATCTGCTGAAGTGGAAGACTAAAGCCTGAATTGTTATTACGGAGGTGAAAACAGTGTCTGTCAAGGGGTGCTTGCACCCAGCGACAGGGTGACAGCACACCCTGTCATCGAGAGTAAGTTTCGCCAAGTAGATCGTAGCGGAGTTGCCGCGGATGGCGATAATGCAACGGATCAAGTACTAGTAAGTACATGTACATTGCAACCAAATTAGTGTGTCAACAATTCTACTTATAATAAATTAGCACGATTCACAAGATCTTCCGCTCGTGAACATGTCGTGGTACGAACACGCATAGCAATTACTGTATCGTAAAAATTAATGTGTCTCGACGTAGACGTAACAGATATGCACTCGTTGTGTAACAGATCTAACAGACTAACAAATATATATTACACTCGCGAAATGCATAGCAGTAATACGCACCGCACCAATATTGCAAGCGACCTAGCATGTCTTGACAATACTGCCCTTGCAGCATGTGACAGTTCTGTACACAATTCGTAACTACAATACACTAATAGTGTCAACGTGCAACATGTGATATGTGATAGTTCTGTACAATACTGGTTATTATATCTCTGGATAATGGCGTGCCCTTGGCAAGTACATACAGAGGAGTGGATGTGTTTCGACGACCAATCATTGCCAGGTAGTGTAGCATGGCATATACAAGGCGATAAAGGCGACTAGCTGGTCTAAGGATGATGTATACCCTCTTTCCAAATGGGTTTTGGACATGTTCAACAGGATGGTCATGCTCAAATCTGATGCACTCTATTGTAAGGCTCTTTGCAAATTCGGAGCACCTTGGGAAAGCAAAGAATGCCAACAGCAGAACAGACTTGAAAAGAACTCGGTCATGGTGGGCCAACACAGGTAGGTGGTCGCAGGCATCAACAAATTTCCTTAGAGTTGGCATAGTTTGGGCAAGCTACAACACTGACTTGGTCCCATGGCACCGTTGAAAACCCTTCAAAACTCCTTGGAGAAAAAATATAGAAAAATTCATTGTAAAAGCATAGATCGAGAACCTCACGCTATACGTGTGGAAAAAATAAAATTCAGCTGAACTGCTGAAAAATAAAATTCAGCTGAAGAGGTCAAAAAAGGGGTGAAGGTAAAAAAATGACTAAAACATCAATGATAAGAAGCATTCCTGACACTTTCACGAGGATTAGCTCCAAACAACTGAAATGACAATACATTTTCTTTCTGAACACATAGTTCAGGGAACATCTTGCGAATATATGACGCTTCCAAAACAGACAGCCCGCGCTAAGGTGGCAAAATTGAAATCAACTCAGTCACTGGAAATCCACAAAGCCAAGCTGACACAATAACTCAAGTCGCAAAGGCAGCATCCACAGCTCGTCCTCTCAGACAAAGGCAGCTCTCAGGCAAATGCATCAACAGCTCGTCCTCTCAGACAAATTCCGTACGTCCAATATCTCCCAATTGGAGGGGAAACTATCAAGCCACGGACCTTTTGCCAAAGGTCGCCAAACCCCTGGCAGCAACCCACATTGCTGGAACTGCCACAAGTTGTGACACATCAGCAGGCAGTGTCCAGTTTGGCCTAGGCTGTGGAGGTCAACCACACCGGATGCATTAACCCCAACCTATAGAATACACCCTCTGGTAGACTACCACCCCATGCACAAACCGGTTGCTCTGTGAGTGAAGAGTCCTTGTTTTTAGAAAAAGATTGGAAGGCTCTGGGTGATGGCATGAGTAGACAGCCCCTGGCAGCAACCCGCATTGCTGGAACTGCCAGAAGTTGTGACACATCAGCAGGCAGTGTCCAGTTTGGCCTAGGCTGTGGAGGCCAACTACACTGGATGCATTAACCCCAACCTATAGAATACACCCTCTGGTAGACTACCACCCCATGCACAAACCGGTAGCTGTGTGAGTGAAGAGTCCTTCTTTTTAGAAAAAGAATGGAAGGCTCTGGGTGATGGCATGAGTAGACAGGGAGTGATGGTCAGCCGTCGTCCATTATTTTCATAATATTTTCATAATACTTTCATTGTGCAAATCGAAGTATTCTGGTAGCTGAAAGTGGATTCACAATCAATCAGTGTCTCATCTGAATTTTAGGTATCATAATGGTATCATACGAGTTAGTCGCACTCTCCCATATGAACCTTGACTGTGCATGTCTCACAAGAATTTCCACAGTCCATCACAAATATCTCCAGCTTAGAACACAACACAATTGTGTTCAGCCACATTGTGCTTGTCCAAAGGCATCTGAGCTGGTAAACTTTGCGGGTTCGGAGACTTGATAGCTGAGCTAAAGCATCGCTCTAGAAGTATTTCATTCAGCCGTGATCAGGTAATTTGCTGTATAAGCTCACACAAGAATTTACATTGTGCAGGTTATATGTGGCCATACATACAGTGACCGAGAGCATTGACTGCATTCTTGCCTGTCCTGAATTTCAAACATCTTGAAAAAATCTCAACTGGGCGATGTGATTTATGTGGTTGCATGATGATCGTGACAACGTGAAACTCGGAGTTACAACACATCTTTTCTGTCTGTCTGTCTGTCTGTCTGTCTGTCTGTCTGTCTGTCTGTCTGTCTGTCTGTCTGTCTGTCTGTCTGTCTGCCTGCCTGCCTGCCTGCCTGCCTGCCCGCCCGCCTGCCTGCCTGCCTGTCTGTCTCTCTCTCTCTCTCTCTCTCTCTCTCTCTCTCTCTCTCTCTCTCTCTCTCTCTCTCTCTCTCTCTATCTCTCGCTCTCTCTCTCTCTCGCTCTCTCTCTCTATCCATCTATCTTTCTCTCTCTCTCTCTGTCTCTCTGTCTCTGTCTGTCTGTCTCTCTCTCTCTCTCTCTTCTCTCTCTCTCTCTCTCTCTCTCTCTCTCTCTCTCTCTCTCTCTCTCTCTCTCTCTCTCTCTCTCTCTCTCTCTCTCTTTCTTTGTCTTTTTCCCTAATACATGTATGTCAAGAAACATAGATTTTCAGGAATTTCTGGTTTTCTGCGAGCACCGTCTATTGGTCCCTTGCCCAACAACAACACCATCATGCCATAGATACTTTCCGTATTATCTCCATTATAAGCCCTGGGCTTATCTTCTTTCAACAAGTCCGGACCCAGGGCTTCTACTAGAGACTAGGCCTCTTATTTTCAACCACCTGCTACATGTACATTGATCATCAGGAATCGTTAATGCAGTTTGTAACTCCTGGTACACCGAGTCTGTTCTTTTAACCTAAGGGATCACAGACTTGTGCCACGTCATGTGGGTGTGTGACACTTTGTGATGTCAAACATGCATGGACATGATCGATACAGTTCTCCATTATAAGCCCTGTGCTTATATTGGAGACTGCACTTGTATATTTTCGAAGCCTTCTTGGCATGCACTTATAATAGAGACTGGGCTTCTTCAAGCGACTGCCCTTGTAGTGGAGATAATATGGAATAAGAAATGTGTTCTGACTTTATTTTCTCTGTTGTCTTCTTTTGCATGCTTTCATTCATCTTTCTCGATGTCTTGATGGGTGTCTATCCATTTCCAATACTTGTTAGCTTTCTCTGGGTATTGCCCAAGTAGTGTCAGCCTAACGAATGGACAATTCAATGCGATTAGCACTCAGATTAAAGGAACGGCATCGGTCAAATGTGATCCAGGGTATCGTCCATCGAAACTTACTCCAATGAATTGCCACACACACAATGCTGCGCATGGCGTGTGGACTAATCTAACAAGCTGTAATGGTGAGTAAACTAAATTGTTTTCTCTTTCATGGAGCCAAAGTCCTTGTTGACATTATGCAAGTGTTTCATCATAGAGAAAGTAGGTTTGGCTGCCTTTAGCTCTGTCTATTTGTAATGAGCACTGATTGAACAAAGCATATTCTCGACTGTGTAATCTCTATTGTCTCAATCTGCAGACAGAACTGTTTCGTCCTCTGTGGACTTATCGGCGCAGCACAGAGGAAATGAGGCCGAACCTGATAGCAATGACAAAGAATATTTCCAAAGCCAGATTTAAACCAAGCCTGCACGTACCTTGCTAGAGTGCTCAAACTGACAAGTCAGTGAGCTCTGCATAACGCAAACACCAAAGGCACTACCCCACACGAGAGTGCTCAACTGCTTCAAAAGCAGGGGCGAAATACTCAATCTGCGGACAGAACTGTTTCGTTTTTTGTGGACTCCTCAGTGCAGCACAGAGGAAATAAGGCCGAACCTGATAATGAGCAATACAAAATATATTTCAATGAAAGTCCAAGAGGTGAAGGAAAGCGCAACGAAGAAGAGCACGAGCTACGCTTCAGAAGATCACTTATGGGCTTGCTCTTGCATGATGCTGCATCCGGGTGGAAGACCCAGACATCGAAGAACGCATTCTGAGCCCGGGTCCAGAATCCACGAGCTCGGACAGCAGCGCGGGCGTCTTTCGCAGTGTTTGTTGATGCCGCTAAAAAAACAAACGCAATCCTCCATATCTTACCCCAGGCACGACGCTGATTTAGGCTGTGTTGTAGTGAGGCGGGCTTGTTCAAGGAGGAAATACAAAGTGGTCATCAGCAAAAGTGTTCAGGTTTGTGCCATGCGACGAACAGCTTGAAATGTTGATCACATACACGAGGAACGATGTAGGATCGATGATACTACCTTGTGGGACTCCAAACTGGACATGGTGCACCAATGAGCTCTGGCCATGAACAACAGCTTTCATGGTGCGACTTCTCAGATAGTGTGTAAGCCATTTGAGCAGGGAACCCCCTATCCCCAAATGGTCGATATTGTAAAGTACGCCAGCAAGAGACACTTTATCAAAAGTCTCCGCTATGTCCACGGCAACTGCTTGCATAACTCCACCTTATGCCATGGCATTGGCCCACTCATACTGAAGGACAGTCAGAACTTCTGCAGGTCCGGTACCACGACGGAAACCGTACTGACGAGTATTCAGCAGAAGATGGCGTTCCAAGAAGTTGGGAGTGGACTATACTCTCCATTACTTTCGACAGGATGCTGAGGAGAGACACAGGTCGATAATTGGAAACAAATGGCTTGGAGGGCTTCCTGTGTATGGTGGACACGTGGGCTAGTTTCCAGTTTCTAAGCTGGATGGACCCTGCACTGAAACAGCAAGAGAACAAGTGAGCAGCAGGCTCTGCCAGCTCCCTGTGGCATTCATTGAGGACTCTAGATGATGGGCCGTCAGGGCCAGTCGCCTTGCGCGGATTCAGTGCTGCTAGATGACAATGTACAATTGGGTGACCGAAAACGGATAGCTGTGATCTGATGTGCCGAGGCAACACGTTGCATACTTCTTCCGCGTCATTAAAATTGTCGTTTCGCACATCCCAATATGTGTGACTTTGCTCGTCTTAGTCAGCCTGTCGGAATCGCTGTTTTCTGTGTTCGAACACTGATGCGACCCTTCCTGCACAATGTCTACGTGTTACTGAAGCCGTGGTGGTCTCGGACTTTGTCTGAGCTCTCTTCCGCACCAAGCAAATTCATCGCGCTCCGCACTATTCCGCCCCAGAGCGCGTTTCTTTTTCTGGAGTTTGTGCCATCCCACATCGTTCGAGTGGGCATTTGTCAAGACTGCAAGCTCGGGTATAAGAATCCTGGTATCTTTCTTGAATACGAACTGCTGAAGTTGACGATGGCAAGAACAAAGTGGTCTCAAATTCCTAAAATGCGCTACTTGTGGCGCATGTTGCTGCGAAGGTAGCAGGTCTGAAAACACCAACAAAATCAGCGAAGCGCTTGCCAAGGAAAGAAGTTGCGGAACTGCTTACCCTAACCCGCTGGAAGGTCGCTACAGTGTACTTGAAAAATTCTAGCTTGCCTTCATCGCCTGCCACCTGGAGGCATTGATCGCTTGAAAACGAAGTTTCTTGACCTGAATTTGAATGCGCGTCTTGTTCAGGGTATTGTTGAGCGCTGAAGGGTCTGCCTCAAACTCTGATGAAGACGTCGACCTTAGCTGCAAGTGCAGCGAAGCGGGAGGCCACAAACTAAAGCTTGGTCCATCGACAATGCTCTGCCCCAATTTCTAGCTGATTTATTTGCCCTTCGAGTGGACAAAATAAATTCGAAAACTCGCTCTGGGAAGCGACAATTTTAATGACGCGGAGGAAGTAGAAGGGAGCTGGTCAGAGGCAGATAAATCATTCGAGCCAAGGCTGCACTTTGTGGCAACGTAGTGGGCAAAGCACTCAGCATTCTCCCTCGCAGTGGTGCGCTCGTGCCCAGATGTGGTGACCAGAACAGGCATGTCGCTTTGGCAGGTCACATTGGCAGCTAGTTTTATAGATGTCCACCATTGCTTGTCTTGCAAGGAGCTAGGTGACAGCTTTCTAGAAGCTCACTCCTTGCATTGCTGTTGGGCATGTAGAAAATGTGTGACAGACGCCGAGAAGGTTTCTTTTCGTTGTAAGCTATCAGGGTCTTGCTTCCAACCTCTCCAGGCTTGTTGCTTAATTAAGGTGCACAGCTTGTTGGCAGGCAGGAATTTATTCAAAAGTGGCAATCAAAAAAGGCGTAGCAATGGATTCGCAGAAAAGTAATCAGTGCATGTTTTGTTTGTTGTTGTTTGATTTTATTTTATGTGGCAATGACCCATCGAGCAGAGGTACTCAATAACAAAGAAGTGAATAAAGGTGCCAAGAAGCATGAGGTGCTTTTAAAAAGTAGAAAGTATTACCGTAAAAGTCCGTAAATAAGTACCTGCCCGAAAGAAATACCCCCTTCATTCTTTTGGCTCTGTCTGTTGAAGTCAAATCAAGCCCGATAAACATACTTCCCGAAATAAGTACAGGTACGGTGCGCACATGCAGCACGTAGCAGGTACATCGACATGAAAATGACTTCTCCACTGCACACATGTCAGGTCCGAAAGTTAGTTCGTGCCCGAAAGTCAGTAGCCGCCCGAAAGTTAGTACGGTGTGGTCACTAAATTCGAAAGTAAATACGTACTTATTGACGGGTTTTTAGACAATGTACTTCCTCCGGAAACAAACACTTCGTGACTTTCGTCCTCTACTTTTCGCTGCTGTTATTTCACTCTTTCTCTCTGGTTCTGTCAGCCTGGAACACCGACATGACATTTCGCAATTGTAGGAAAGCATAATTCATATGCTGCAGAGCCCACAGTCGTCGCAGAGCAAGAGCGTCTACGTTGCAAACAAAGCAAAGCGGACATGTTTTTCATTTTCGTCCACCAGGCGCAACGAGAAGAAAAGCACTGCGCTCACTGCTCGTCGTTGCTATGTTTTAGTTAAGAACTTGACAGAGCACGACAATGGCACCGAGGAGCAAGAAGAGTGGAAAATGAATAGCAATAGCAGCTAGCGTTTTGAAATCTTCGCCATCTCCGAAACGCCTGCCGGCATGCGAATAGGTCGGCACGATGTCAAAACTACTTCGAAGTATAAAAGGTAGGGATGTGACAATCGTCACTTCCCGCAGCAGAGCAATATGAACAAGTAAGTTCAAAATAGAAGTCAACGTTCAGCCACTGCAGAGCCCAGAACGCGGATGATGTCACCTTTTCCAGCAGCCTCGACGAATAGATCCTGTAGATATTGTAGACATGTCGATTGAATGTGTTGAAGTGTTTCTCCAGAGTCCTCCAAAAGAACACTTCTGTTGAGCACAGTAACTCCTTCAAAAATCATTTTAAAATCGACGTTTTTGTTTTCGGAGGAAGTAGAAGAAGTAGGTGGAGTCCGGTCTAAGATGGACCATTAGAGCTCTGATACCGAGGGACAAACGTTCAGAAGAGAAATATTTCAGAGGCCGGGGGATCATTGAGCGCCATGTAAAACAGCTGGCAACATTAGCAGAAAGCTCACAGTCTGGTATAAATGCTGACCGTGATAAGGGGATAGCAGAGCGGCTTTCAGGCAAAGGAGCAGAAGGCAGAGAGACAGACAGACAGACCAGGTGAGAGAGTTGGGCACAGACCAGGTGAGAGAGTTGCGCACAGACCAGATGAGAGAGTTACGGACAGACTAGTGAGAAAGTTACGAACAGACCACATGAGAGAGTTACGCGCAGACCAGCACAAGTACAGATACCGTACTCACGCGATTAGATGTTTTCAACGTCCATCACAGATGGTGCACTATTCGAAAGAGGGCACTATTCAAGAGGGAGCATTTCTTTCAATGCTAGTACATTTGCGTCATCCAGCATAAAACAGAGTTTAAAGTTTACTGTAAACTATCACGACTCAAGAGAAACGGCAACAATAACTGTGATTTAGATTCTGAAACCACCAGTGCAAACACATGGACAAGAACATTAGCAAAAGAACACCAAACTTGCACATGCGCTTGATTATATGCTCGGAGAGGGGGGGGGGGTATTCAAGAGCGAGCTTTATGTTTTCACTGGCTTGTAGAGACTGGGCACTACTCGAGATGGGACACTATCAAGAGAGGGCTCTTGTCGCAAGAGTACGGTACATGCATAATAGGAACGCTAGATTACAAGGAAGGGCAAAGAGACAAAAAGTCGCAGAGTGACAGTCTGACAAGGAGAGAGAGAGAGGGAGAGAGAGAGAGAGAGAGAGAGAGAGAGAGAGAGAGAGAGATAGAGAGAGAGAGAGAGAGAGAGAGAGAGAGAGAGAGAGAGAGAGAGAGAGAGAGAGAGAGAGAGAGAGAGAGAGATATCATAAACTGCCTGTGGCCTGAGGCAGAAAGAGTTTATGTGTAGATGTGAGGGGTGCGAAAGACAGAAAAGGTGATGGATGATGTGCAGACAAACAGATAGGCAGAAAGAGGGAGGTAGTTAAATAGGAGTATGAATAAAGCCTGAAAAACGCCCTGATGTTGTGCTATCAAATTGAGCTTCTTATCTTCTGGTGGCGTTCTCACACATTAATGCATGCTTCTTTCTCTTGTTCTTGATGGATTTCAATGCTTTACCCATACTTCACAGTATATATGCGTTGCCCCAGTGATATCAAAGTAAAGAATGGAATTGTTACTGTTAACAGTAATTACACTGATGGAACTGCAGCCGTTACATGTAACCAAGGTTACCGACCACCAAATGCGTTGCCAATGAAGTGCGAGCAACACAATGTGACGCACAACGTGTGGACCAATATACTTACCTGCAACCGTAAGTTAAAACGAATGGGTGTTCAGGTGTTGAGGACAGTATATGTGTTCTAATGCGGACCTCCCATGTCCAGTCTGCTACCTCAACCAAACATGCAAGGGGCATCCTGGGATAATATTGGAGAGTAGGTGGGGTCAAGATCCTTTGAAAATGTTCCCATCATTGGAGAGCACACGGGGGTGTCTGCACACAGCTCTGTCCATGCGAATTGAGCATTGTTTGGGCAGTGAAAGTTGCCTACTGTGTACTTTCTGAGTGGTGAGAAAGAAAACATTGACATCAACCAGAGAATAGAGCTTGCATAATAATAACCATTTTACAATTTCTTGGCATTTATTCATTTGTTACTCTCTCTCTCTCTCTCTCTCTCTCTCTCTCTCTCTCTCTCTCTCTTTCTCTCTCTCCGTGTATTGATGTCTGTCAGTCACTTGGCCGCTGAGTACTGGATGGTGCACCATTGCCCAAAACGATATCCGTGACTTGATTGGAACTGTTAATGTCCTCCATGATTAAAACGCTTTTAAACAGGCATAACGATGGACAGCTGAAAAGAAATTAAAAAGCTCCCGTGGGAATAAACACAATGAATAGTGCGAGCTACACAATCAGTATAAACAACATAAGGATATGTGCGTATGGTGTTTGTACTGAGTGCGCAGCTCGTTCTATTCATTGCGTGAACTGTAATTAGCGAATGAAGCTTGGAAAACGCCCTGACGTGCTATCAGACACCTATCTCCCGGTGTTGTTCTCTCACATTAATGCATACTTCTTTCTCTTGTTCTTGATGGACTTCATTCATTTACCCATACTTAACAGCATATATGCTTTGCCCCAGTGATATCAAAGTAAAGGATGGAGTTGTTACTGTTAGCAGTAATTACACAAATGGAACTGCAACCGTTACATGTAACCAAGGTTACCGACCACCAAATACTTTGCCAATGAAGTGCGAGGAACACAATGTGACCCACAACGTGTGGACCCATCAACTAAGCTGCAACCGTAAGTAAAAACGAATGGGTGTTCAGGTGTTCAGGACAGTAGATGTTTTCTTATGCGGACCTCCCATGTCCAGTCTGCTACTTCCTCCGCGTCATCGAAATTGTCGCAGTTTGACTAGTGACTTGTCACTTGTCACTGACAACTCCATAAGCTAAGCCATTCAAAACTTATTGCACAGTATGATAGTCTGAAGATTAGAGTAACGTTCCAGGACAGTTGGGCTCAGAGTTTTCAAGCAGAGATGAAGTCCTCGTCGTCGCTGATGTCAATGGACGCAAAAAATATCATTCCGAAATATTTCAAGGAAGGTTGAAAGTTGGTCGCGCCTCATCTCAAACGCTTTGTCTTTCTCCACAGGACAAGAGCTGCTATGCTTGTCGTCTGCTAGCTCTGGATGATTTCTACTTCACCACCAACGAAGCCTAGTAAGATAACACGATCGTTGCGAGGTCGGTTGATTACCGTCGGCGGAATCACCTCGATCTTGAAATGAACTTTTTTTAGCCGTGGCATGCCCATTTATTTTAGCTGTGTGGTCACAGCTCATGCAGGTAAGTGTACTATCACGTCCAGCGTGCCCTCTTTTTCAGCATCACTGGTATACCATGGTACGGTACCTGCGCGTGCATCACTAGCACTACGTGTAGAGTCTACACGGCTCTTGCAGGTACAATCATGTACTGAGTGTCTCAGCCAGAGCGACAAATTTTATCGCTGTTGCAGGCATTTAGTCTGCTGACCCCTCGATGTTTCTCCAAGCACTGCCACTTGTTCCACGAAGTCATTCTCGCCCCAGCTAAGGTAAAACAGTGATGAGGCTTGAGTGAATGGCCATAAGCACGAGAAATGTGCAGGCTGCAACGCCTGACTGATCTCAGCGAGTCGAAATTACCATCGCAGCGACATCAGCGAAGAAATTGTGTCTAGTTCAAAATTTCCAGCTTCCAATAACAGAAAATAGACCTTTGCTGTCACCCTATACTGATGACTATCGCCTATGTCCGATTCTATGCCTCTGGTACGAGTGCTGGTGAGTAAATACCCCTTTTTATATCAAAAGTCAAACTGCGACAATTTCGATGGCGCGGAGGAAGTACCTCATTCAAAACTTGTAAGAGGCATTGACAGCTCTTTAAACTCCAATCAAAATCCTGTGGTAATATTCCCATCTTCGGAGAGCATGGGAGGGTGGGTGTCTGCACATAGCTCTGTCCATGCGAATTGAGCATTGTTTGAGCAGTGAAAGTTGCCTACTGTGTACTTTCGGAGTGGTAAAAAAAACAATTGATAGGAACCAGAAAAGAGTGCTTGCGTAATTAGTGTTCTCTGATTGAGCTGCTTAACTTAAATTTCTTGGCATTCATTCATTTGTTACTTTCGATGTGTATTGATTGCTATCAATCACTTGGCCAGTGAGTACAGAATGGTGTACTGGTATGTGCATTGCCCAAATGATATCCATGACCTGATTGGGATTGTTAATGTCCTCAAAATCGACACTGGTGACACTACTTATTTCCTTCGCGAATATCAGCTCAAGCCAGGACCCGTAGCTAGCTAGCTAGCTAGCTAGCTAGCAGAATTGTTTTAAACAAGAGGTGTTGAACTGTGCAGGTCATGGAAAGAAGGATTAGGAGCAGGACTGCGGGGTAGTTGAGCTCTCCTTCTTTGACCTGTAGGTACAGCATAGTCAGTGTTTACTGACATGTTTCTCCCAGGTTGTACGACAAACTACTGCCAGTACTAGCTTACGTAATGTTGCTTACGTCATGTTGTGGTGGTAACTCACAATGAGGTGTGAAAAAATGGTTTCACAAATTGCATGTTTGACCAAGAGTTTTAAAGGGGAAGTGCATCGCTGTGTTCAATGCTGTAAGTGCAGTGAACTGTTTGCTAGTAGTCCTCTCGGTTGTGTACTGGGACGTGACACCGACAGGAGAAAGCTGGAGCGCGGAGACACCAGCAGACAAGTGAAAATAGTGACGAACAAAATGGTGAAATCTTGGTTGGGACAAATCAGACGTTCAGCATTTCCCCCAACCAAGGACCATGCCGTTTGCTCTTTCCAATTCCTGAAGGTGAATGTGATGCTTCCTGGCGACTCTCCTATCTCTCGTAACATCTTCTGAAGCCAGGTGAGACGACGGGTGGTGGAGATTGACGAATGAAATAATGTCGTAGGTTTGAAAGTTTGCTGAAAATGTCTCAGGAGAGACGGCGAATTCCAAGCATCTTGTCCTGGAGGAAACCATTTCCCAGGCACAGTCAGCCTAGGGAAATGCATGAGAAGGGCTACAAATAGTTCACGGCACTAACAGCATTGAACACAGCACTTCTTTCACATCGTGAATACAATAAGACAATTGAAAATGACCAATTTATGCAGTGATCGACCTTCTCTGTGGAGGAGCTAAGCCTTTTGTATGTCATCACTCCGCTGGTCGCTATGGCAATGTGAGCATACAATTGGCGATTTGGCAAGTTTGGCTTATCGTATGGAAGCGAGAGATATGCCATTCGAACCGATATCAAATTGTCTTTCTTCTGGACCCTATTCGAAAAATCGATGCACTTCCCCTTTAACTACTAAAATTTAAGTACACTCATACCTCGTTTATCCGGGCAGTCCGGGACCTTGCACTGCCCGTAACTTTGAAATGTCCGTAACTCCGAATCATATACATCTTGATGGGGAAAAGGCCATCGATATGGCATATGACGTCAATATTTCTACGAAAAGTGACAAAAGAGTAGTAATATTTCCCCTGAAACTCGCCCAAATAGTGCCCGGTAGACCGAAGTGCCCGTAACTTAGGGGTCCGGATAACCGAGGTATGAGTGTAATAGTTGTAGTCTTCGGGGTGCTGAGTCGAATGCTGCCTGCTCTACAATTTTTGCACCAAGGTTCAATTCAAAGGCTCAAAGCAGGGAGTCGTAAGAGGTTTTGACGACTCCCTGGTTCAAACGTTCAACTCGAGTGACAGGAACAGGCTGTAAATTGTAGCCTGAGGCCGATGAAGGCAGGATGACCAGGTGACCGGTGTATGCAGGAGCACGTGACCGCTTTCTCAACCGTGTTCGATTGGGAATAAGGGCCGAACGCTGCATCTCAGCCTTTTCGGACCAAACCAGTCGACTCAGCGGCCAAAAGACTACAACATGGACCCATCGCGGTCATCCGTGCTTTTATAAGAACGAAACGGCGGTTTTAGCGACTTTTTGCATATAAATCCCTATCTAGTAGGGCGCAATAACCCCAGTTTCGGAGGAAGTCCGCGAGTTCGATTGGGAATAAAGGAGGAAGGGTGCGTCTCAGCTTCCTCGGACCAAGACCATTTTGACTCAGCACCCAGAAAGCTACATCTGGTGAAAATTTGATTTGACCCTCACACCACGGAAGAGATGAGCCAGTGGTATTAGATGTAGACTTTGTAGTACGAGTGCAACTCCTGTGGGGTCAAATGTTAGAGAACCCGCAGTCAGCACTGAAGTGCTCGAAACGGATTTGAATTTGAAAACTACGAAAGTCGATGAGGGGACTACTGAGGTTACTTCAGCGTTGAACAACCTGACAGATACTGAGCCAGACATGTCGTCCGCACAGGGATCGCTGTCAAGCATGATAGCACACCCCAGAACTCCCCTCGCGGACGTCGAAGTAGACATTGCAGAGCGAGATCTAGAACGGACAGAGCGACTCCTATCAGAAGTGGCATCAAACATCAACACCGAAGCGATCCACACTTGGTTCACGCCTGAACGACGAGGCAGGAATGCCAGTACTGAGTCCTCACCAGAGTTGGCAACTGGGGTGAAGAAGAAGGATTCCCGGAAACCCGTCACTGCGCCTCCTGGTGACTAATGCTTTTAGCTTAGCAAACAAATTTGGATTTGTCCACACTGTCACGCACCACAATGTAGACATCGCTGTTGTGACCGAGACCAAGTTTGATGCAACTATCATGCCAGCTGACCAATGATAAAGAATGATGGCAGCACTGGGTGACCCTAATTCTCCAACAGGACTCAAACTGCTGGTGACTAATGCCTGTAGCCTTCGTAACAAGCTGGAAGACCTGAGGCATGCACTCAACCAGCACGACATAGATGTAGCAATTATCACTGAAACTAAATTCTCTGCTGCTGCCATAACTAGCCTTGACTCGTCCATCTCTGGATACGGCGTCCCATATCGCAGAGACCGGAACGAGCACGGAGGAGGTGTCGCTGTGCGGATCAAGTCCACCCTTGCTTCTGCTCATCTAGACAACTCCAGTCTGCAGAACATGAAACACTCTGGGTTAAAGTCCGCCTCCCTGGTGGCACAAGCTTGGTGATCGGCTCTGTGTACCGTCCAGGCTCCTGTAGCCCCACCGACCTCTCTCTCATCGATTCACTTGACGATACACTACATCAGGCCAAAGAGCTGTCCCCGAACGTAATCCTCGCTGAGGATTTCAACGTGCATAGTGCAGATTGGCTTGGTAGCGCGAAGTCAACCCCGGCCGGGGATGCCCTCGAGGATCTTTGTATCACCCACGAGCTCACGCAACATGTCCGAGAGCCCACTCGAGGTGCCAACACACTAGACCTAATCATGTCCACTTTCCAACAACCCATCAGCACCACTGTACTTGCCCCTTTAGGACGCTCAGATCATGGAACTGTGATAGCTCAATTCCCGACCATTTCTCCATGCCGGGGAGAGGCCACCACGCGTACTGTGTGGCGTTACGAGTGTGCTGACTGGGGGCGACTCAGAGCACACCTCAAGGCTGTCCCTTGGGTCTCCATTATCACGGACGATCCAGAGTTGTCTTGCTTACAAGTCACCAATACCATCGCTGCAGGCATGGACCAGTTCATTCCCCATAAGACTCTCGTCATCCGCTCATCTGATCCCAAGTGGTGGACCCCTGAGTGCACACAAGTGATGCGTATCAAGGACAGAGAATGGAGGAAATGGCGGCATGACCTCGGCAATGACGTCGAGAAGCAATCCTTCATCGACTCTGTTACCCGCGCTACCACCACACTTCAGCACTCCAGGCAGGAGAAGGAACGGCACCTTCGGGCCCGGCTCACCTGCGGCTCGCTTCGCGACAAGGCATGGTGGTGCAACCTGAAAGGAGCATGCGGTCTTGGCCGAATCTCTGACATCTCCCTCCTCCTCGACAATGCCGGGAAGGAACACATTACCAGCAAGGAGAAGGCTGACTGCTTTGGTCACTTCTTTGCTGGCAGGGACCTACATCGTGCCTCCCTTGGAACCCCAGCGCTTGCTCACCCACATCCTCCACTCACCCATGTCCACTTCCGCATCCAGAATGTTCACCGCCTCCTGCGCCGTCTCGACGCGTCGAAAGCCGGACAGCATCTCCCCCCGTGTCCTGAAAGAATGCGCTTCGGTGCTCGCACCGATCCTGACCAAGCTTTTCTCATTGTGCTTCCGGCATGGATACTAACCTCAGGCCTGGAAGCTCGCCAATGTTGTTCCTGTGCATAAACGCTCATCTCGCTCACAGCTAAAGAACTACCGCCCCGTATCCCTCCTTAGTGTGATATCCAAGGTAATGGAGACCATTATCAACAAGCAAATTACGAACTACCTCGAGGGTAACTCACTGCTTGCAGCGAATCAGTTTGGCTTCAGAAAGAATCTGGGTACAGCCGACGCTCTTACTGCGCTACACCACTCCTGGGCATCCTCTATCGGACACGGGGGCGCAGCACGCGTACTTGCAGTTGACATCGCTGGAGCCTTCGACAAGGTCTCTCACGCAGGTGTCCTTTTCAAGCTACAGCAATGTGGCATCCAAGGAATCCTCCTTGCATGGCTGACCGAAGCATAAAGTGTGTTGTCGGTGGTGCAACCTCCCGTCCATACCCCATCAAGGCGGGAGTCCCATAAGGCAGCATCTTGGGGCCAACCATGTTTCTCATATACATTAACGACGTATCAACATGCCTTGCTGGGAACACGCAGCTGGAAGCATATGCTGACGATACGACATTGTACACTCTTCTCCGTAACGACCTCCCCACTGCTGCTGCCTTGCTTCAGGACACCGTCAATCGTCTGTCAGACTGGGGCAAGGAATGGCGTGTAGCGTTTGAGCCGTCGAAATCCCAGGCTATGACAGTCACGCTGCAAAGAGCGCAGCTAGCCTTGCTCTCTCTCCTCTTTGGAGGCAACCCTGTGCCAGAGTCATCCACAATAAAGCTCTTAGGGGTGACTTTTGATCCGAAGCTGTCCTTCGCGGAGCACATTCGTGCAGTGTCTATACGTGGCAAACAGCGCTTGGGCCTCCTGCGGCGAGCTGCGCCCTATCTCTCCCGAGAAGGCCGCCTCACGGTGTGCAAGGGGTTTGTACGGCCCATTTTGGAGTATGCTCCGCTCGTCTGGATGGGAGCTGCTCCCTCCCATCTTGCACGCCTAGATAGCATCCAACGCCGTGCATTGCGCATCATTGGTCCTGGGACGGAGCTCCAGAGCCTCAGCCTACGGCGATACGTTGCTGCATTAACATACACTTACAAACTGCATTTCATCACCGGTCCGACTCAGTTGCTAGCAGTCCTCCCGCCAAGGCTTGAGCCCCGTGACACCACTCGCACTCGAAACGATCTCCGCATGGCCGCCGGCCACAGTTACCAGCTACGAAATCCGCTACCGCGTCAAGCACCAGACACCATTCTCCGCAGCTTCCCACATTGTGCAATTCAGCTGTGGAATTCCCTGCTGCCAGCTTTTCTAGACTCCGCCCCAACTCGCACAAATCTTCAAAAGTTTAAGTGCAACGTCAACGAATACCTCCGCCGACAGGATTGGCGATGGTCCACGGAAATTCTGCCTGTCGACCCACCTACATTTTAATGCCCCGTCAACGACTCCCATTGCTACGAATGCGCTTGCACACTGGTACTAGCTGTTGTTTGCCCTTGCTTTCTTTTTATTTTTGCTGACCCTTACAGCTCTATCTTTTATTTTTGGTGTGGGTTTCTGGCCGTGATGCCGAGACCTCAGGTCGGCAGAGCCATCAATGCCCCACCATCACTGCTGCACCTCGGTGCAGCCCCTTCTCAGTAGTTGTCCCGGTTGTCCTTGTCTCAGTACCATTGTCTTCTGTATTATTTATGAGTTGGGTATGTGAACATAGTAAAAAAAAGGAAAAAAAGTGGGGTGTCGCAAGCTTATTATTATTATTATATTATTATTTGAAACTCGGGTACTACTAATATTATTATTATTAACTTTTTTACTAGGTTGTTTCCCACAGACCTATGGTCTTCTTACGGGAGCCCCTAGGAAGGTAATGCATGAGCGAATAAATGAAATTGAACGTGAGCATGACATGATTATTGTGATCATGATGACGTATAACATAGTCCGCTTGAAATGATCGGACTGGGCCGTCTAAGGCCACCCATCTGAAACATAGTATGATAGGAACAAATAACGCCATCTATCGGCTATGAAAGAGCGTTCTAAAGGCGACCCATGGAGTCATGTAACAATCATAAAGGCTGGGTGTACCAGTACATTGCTATGGCAACTGCATGACCACTATGTACTCGGTAGTATCCACAAGTATATTAAAAAAATTGTATTTTCTGCGGCAGCCGATGGATGTGCACCATGCAGATTTCGTGCCCATCGGCCGAGCCCGTGCCTCCCCTCCGGCCGGTAGGTGTGGGAGGGTGGGAAACACAATCGCGTGGCGAGCTCTCACAGCAAAACAGACAACTGGCAAAAATTACACCAGCAAGCAGTAGATGAGCTGTCTACGGATGCATCCGCCAGGCGAAGGGTGGCTCTTGCGGGATGTCGTACGCGAGTGCGACTCGAATGCGGAACTCCGCGAGAGTGAGTGCTTGCTAAAGTCAGCTGCGGCAGCACGGCGGAGTGCGTAAGGTCACCTAAAGTCATCTAGCGGGAATATTCCCCTGCGGGGGCGCGTCCCGTGGCATGTTGGTTAACTACGGTTTGCGCAACGCAAACCAACATTTTTAAAGGGTATATTTCCCCGTTAACGCAATGAATAGAACGAGCTGTGTACTCAGTTCAACCACCAGAAGTATATTTGCTTGTGATATTTGCACTGAGTGTGCAGCTCGCTGTACTCATTGCCCAAAAAGTAATTAGATGAATGAAGCCTGAAAAACGCCCTGGCGTTGTGCTATCAGTTTGAGCTTCTTATCTCCTGGTGGCGTTCTAAAACGTTAATGCATACTTCTTTCTCTTGTTCTTGATGGATTTCACTCATTTACCCATACTTAACAGTATATATGCGTTGCCCCAGTGATATCAAAGTAAAGAATGGAATCGTTACTGTTAACAGTAATTACACAGATGGAAATGCAACCGTTACATGTAACCAAGGTTACCGACCACCAAATGCTTTGCCAATGAAGTGCGAGGAACACAATGTGACCCACAACGTGTGGACCAATCAACTAAGCTGCAACCGTAAGTAATAACGAATTGGTGTTCAGGTGTACAGGACAGTAGATGTTTTCTTATGCGGACCTCCCATGTCCAGTCTGCTACCTCATCCAAAACTTGTAAGAGGCGTTGACAGCTCTTTACACTGCAATCAAAATCCTGTGGTAATATTCCCATCACCGGAGAGCATGGGAGGGTGGGTGTCTGCACACAGCTCTGTCCATGCGAATTGAGCAATGTTTGAGCAGTGAAAGTTGCCTACTCTGTACTTTCTGAGTGGTGTGAAAGAAAGATTGACTAGAGCCAGATAAAAGTGCTTGCGTAATTAATGTTCTCTGTTTTAGCTGGTTATCTTCCAGATTTCTTGTCTTTATTCGTTCTTTACTCTCTGTGCATATTGATGACTAAAAAGTGCTTGCGTAATTAATGTTCTCTGTTTTAGCTGCTTATCTTTCAATTTCTTGTCATTTTATTCGTTCTTTACTCTCTGTGCATATTGATGACTGTCAATCACTTGGCCACTGAGTACTGGATGGTGTATGTGTATGGATCAAATATTATCGATGCTCTAATGGGGTTGCTCATGTCCTCCATGATGACTACTGCTTATTTCCTTCACGAATAACAGCTCAAGCTGGGGCCCATAACTAGATAGCAGATATGCTTGCAGTCGAGAGGTGCTGAACAGTGCAGGTCATGGAAAGAAGGCCAGCCGACCGGCTTTCTCTACTAGTTCCAGGGAACAATATCAAGATTATCGAGGAGTTTCGTTATCTGGGTTCGTTGGTCCACGCTACTTGCCGCTCTTCTCAAAACATCAACTCGTGCCCTGCAGGGGCATCACGGGCTTTCGATGTACTCCCACGCTCTGTCTTCATTGACTCTAACCTGTCCATTTATAATATCCTTAAATAATCACAAGAGAGAGTTTGGACGCTTTGTTACAACTCTGAGTTTCACGTATTACTACGATCATCAGGCAATATCCTTAAATAATCTGCGAGGAGATTATAATTTAAATACAGCTATGAATAGAATGAAGGCCGCAGACATCACGCAACTACTACAAGTACGTTACTTGTTCGACATGTATGTGTATCTTATAACAATAATATCGAAACCCAGAATCGATCTTCTTGTTCCTATCATCAATGGGGAAAAATACGGAACTAAAGGATACCAACCAATGAAACTGAATTTAAGTTATAGAAAGGTGTTAGAAATGCCACGTAAAATCATGATACAAGTGCAATAAAACCACTAGAGGAAATGCAAACAAGTAAAAAAATTACGTAACCAAAGGTAAGAAGGCACTGAATGAACTGTCAACCTACAAATAAAACCTAAGTGCAACAACGTGCTCTTTCTGCTAACACAAAACAGCTTTATGAATACGGATACAACTGCCTCAAGGACTTTCAACTGCTAGACATAACACGCACGACACAGTACAGAAAAATGAGACTCCTCATATACACTCAGACAGTCAGGACGAGATAACAAGTTTAGATACACAGCCGACGTCTTACGAACAGCACATTCATCCGCCTCATCTCGCTCTTTCCCATCTGATACCTCCTCATCCATCTTTCTAGCACTTAACTTCAGTTTCATTGGTTGGTATCCTTTAGTTCCGTATTTTTCCCCACTGATGATGGGAGCGAGAAGATGGATTCTTGGTTTCAATGATATTGTTATACAATACACATACATGTGGAACAAGTAACGTAGTTGCGTGATGTCTGCGGCCTTCATCCAATTCATAGCTATACAGGTCGTCCCCCGTTAGTACGAGTCCGGTTCGTACATAAACCCCGTTAGTACATAAGAAATCTCAAGTCCCGGACGAAACGTGGTCACTGCCATACAAATTTTGTCGGCTAGTACATAATTCGTTAGTACATAAACCCCGTTAGTACATAACATTTCTCCATACCCGCATGCCACCTACCTCAATAGTACATAATTTGATGGTCTTTTGGCCTTCCAGTGGAGGCACGTCGTGTTCTAGTTTCTACTTGAGCGCACATCACAAACCGACAAAGCTCTGTTTTTTTCGAATGACTGTACAGGCGTGGCTGGGCCGGGCATGTATCATGTAAACTGTAGAATCTTCGCTGACTGTGACCGTTATAACATAATTTTATGTAATATCGAGGGAATCAAGAATATCTTGCTCCCTAGTGATGGCAGCAAGAAACACTCAGAAAAGTTGAATAAAGTGAACAATTCTGGTATACAAGCAAGTTATGTACACTTTTCGTTTAGTACATAAACCCCGTTAATACATAACATTTGTCAAGTCCCAGAGATTATGTATTAACGAGGGACGACCTGTAATTATAATATTCTTAATAATACGAAGTAGAGGTTGCGACTTCGGCGATGATTTTGTTAAGGAATGGGTTTGCTCCCACACTGGAGCTCGCGCTATTCCGTCGACGACAAGTCGTCGGCGGAATAGCGCGAGCTCCAGTGTGGGAGCAAACCCATTCCTATTCTTAATAATCGTTATTTAAAGGACCTCGCAGAGGCGATGGCCTGTCGTAATGTTTATCAAGCGTGCGTACTTTCGCTTCTGCATTTAATTTGCATTTTTGCCCTTAGTCCGTGGTCGGTTTCATCCTCACTTCCTTGTATTGGCTATTTTCATTATGTGCCATGAAGTGCAGAGAGTAAATAAAAATAAATAATAAAAATTCGAAGCAGTACTGCAGAAGCTCCAGGGATGCCCAGCATTCGGAGCAGTACAGCAGAAGCGAAAGTATGCACGCTTCATAAACATCACGCTTTCTAGTGTTTTCCTCACTGTATATTTCTATTGCATGATTTGCATCAGGATATCCCCTCGACAGGCCATCGCCTCTGCGAGATCCTTTAAATAAAGATAATTAAACCTTTTATCCTCCCATTGTTCCCATATGGGAACAAGAATTAGGAAATGGATTTTTGTGGCCCAAAAAAGTGGTCAGAGCAATTCATTTTCAGTTTTTGTGATTCATTGTTCCTATATGAACCCAGAACAATATTGAGTTTGGAGGTGCATCCAGCCTCCTATGTGCAATGGACATCCAATACTGAGCCAATTTATCGTATATCGGAAGCAATTCGTGTCGAAAGTATATACCTAGTTGTATGACCACATATCATAATTTTATTATAAGTATAACTATAAAATGGCCGCAGACATCACGCTACTACGTTACTTGTTAGACATGTATGACTGTGTATTCTATCACAATAATTAAAGAGAGAGAAAAAGGCTCTTTGTAAGTAAGGCTGCTCCGAATGCCAAGTATCCCTGCTGTACTGCTCCGAATGCCGGGTATCCCTGATGTACTGCTCCGAATGCCGGGTATCCCTGCTTTACTGGTCTAACGCCTTCTCTTCCTCCCTCAAGGTTTCGCAGCTTGACCGCCTTCAGGTCCTGCAGAACCGAGCGGCGAGAGCGGTATACGGTTTGCCGCCTCACACCTCTGCCCAGCCTCTTCTCCAGCGGATTTCTCTGTACAGAGTTCGCGAGTGCTACGCCCAGAAGCGGCTCGTCCTGGTGTGGCGCTGTGTCAATGGGAAAGCCAGCAGTGTCCTCCAGGACCTATTCTCACCATCAGCTGGTAGCACCACCCGGCACCAGGTTTCCAGGGGCCTCACTGTCCCCTCGCACAGTCAGAAGACAGCAGATCTCGCCTGGCCTTTCAGGCAGCCTTGGCCTGGAAAGCAATCCCAAGGAGTGTAAGGGAGATCAAGGCTGCCCAGCAATTTAAGCTTGCCTCCATCCCCTACACCTTGCAATGTATGCTCTGTCTGACTTTTCCCGTCCACACACCACGTCATTTACTCTTCTCTGCGTGCTTGTGCACCTATGAACTCTTTGTGTTCCCTCTGTTGACGCTTCAAAATCTCTCCGGTGACACTGCAAAATCAGTCTCTTGACGCTGCAAAATCTCTTATCAGACTAAAATACATAGCAATTTGTTCTTCACTGCTACCCCCAACCACACGTTGATGCCCGTAACTCTCTCTCCTTTGAAATTCGCTTCCATAGAATTGGGCACCATTGCCCGTTTGGCCTGGCGAAGAAAAATCTAAATCAAAATGCTCCGAATGCTGGGTATACCTGCTGTATTGCTCCGAATGCAGGGTACTGAAGAACGGGTAATTTTAGCGACGTAAAAAGTTAAAAACCCTAGCGAATTTAGCGATCGACTCATTTTCGCTAAAGTTTCAAGTCACTAATCCGTTGAGACATAAGTAGCGCACTGGTGATCCGTGACTAAAATCGCTGCTAATCGCTGAAGTAAAACGTCGCTATGGGGTCGTCCGCAATTATCGAAAGTTTTTTCCAATCCGTAGTAGCTTCGAAAGTGGGTGGGTGGGTCAAGGCCAGTTACGGATTGAAAAACTTCCGAAATGACACGTGCGCGTGCCACGTGTACGTCTACGTGTAGCCCCTGTTTTCCACGCGCGGCTGCGCGCGAACTGTCTACTACAAATATTACGGAGGATTAGCAAGACGGAATTCGCGTTCGCGTTCGCTCTCCAAGGAAAGTCGAACTCAGTGACGGGATTCGCGTTATGAGAAGGATTAGCAAACAGAATTCGCACATGCATGATGTTGACACGACGTACATTGTCTACAGACAGTACAGCGTGGTAAATCTATGACTGCCCTGACACGAATCCGCGATTCGTGTTCCGACTACTTTTCCGAACGAAAAATGCGAAAGTTCGCAATGCAGTTCGCGAACTGAAAAATGTTTGCGAACGCGAACGCGAATTTCGTCTTGCTAATCCTCCGTATTTTTGTAGTTCTGGCAGTTTCTGCGCCCCCGCGCGCGCTTCCTTGGCTGCTCCTGGGCCGGTGATCATAAAGTTAGTTCGGCGCATTCGACGGCGAGTCGACACTTTCTATTTTTGAGTTTCACTGTCTCCTTCGTCCAGAGTACCGTCTTCCATGCACTCCTTTGAAGTCCTTCCGTCTAGCGCTGGCGCTGACGACTGTTATTGACTATGTCCAGACAGGC